GGTGGTCATGAGTTTTTGGGCGACTTGGTTTGTCTGGTGAGGCAACACTAGGCCATCGAGGGAGGCAAGAAGCGCCCCCTCCCGTGTTCGGAGATTTTGGGTTGGGTGGTCATGAGTTTTTGGGCGACTTGGTTCGTCTGGTGAGGCAACACTAGGCCACCGAGGGAGGCAAGATGCGTCCCTGCGTGTTAGGCAATTTGGAGGTGGATGGTCGTGGGTTTTCTAGACGACTTGGTTCATCAGGTGAGGTAACACTAGCTGACTCTGGTAGGCGAGATGCGCCCCCTCCCTGTTAGTCGATTTTTGGGTGTCTGCTTTCCTTGGGGGACTTGATGAAAAAATGGAAGGCGACTAAGCACATGGCGGTGGGCGACACCGAAGTGTTGTTTAGTAGGCGACTAAAGCTCATTGATTTTGCCGACTTGCCGTGCGTGGTTAGGCGATTTTGGCTGTCTGCTATCCTTGGGCAACTTGATGAAAATTGGGAGGCGATCAATCCCGTGTTTTCAGCAACAAAAAACAAATATGTCCCTGCTGTGAAAAAATACAAGCATGTGGGAAGAGATATGTGAGCTTCGCGTGGCTTCTTTGTTAAAAACTATCAGTGAAAAATTCCCCAAAAAAACCCTATCAGTCAGCTATGTATATTTGCCGTGCTGTAAAGGCTCCCTGACCCCTACCAGCCTGCATTTGAGAAAAACTTGCCTATGATAACTACAGATTCATTTGCAAAAACTTGCCCACCCCCACCCCTGATCAACTGGACTATGATCCTGGAATACCTAAAAATATAAGGACGGTGCTACACAGCGCCCGCGCGCTATGCGGGCTAGGCTCGTGGCCGGTATTTATGGAAGGTGCATCCCTGTCGGCCCCCCGCCCATGTGTGAAAAAGGCAAGTCTTCCACTTCTCGTTGCCAGGTCCCGACAACCATCCCCTCACGTGATCCTTCTTTCACACCCACCACCAGAAAATCCTACGCCCCACCAGACCAGATCCCCCGTGCGACTCCTTCCCCCCAGCCGCCGCCAAACGCCAATGCCTAGCGTTTGGTGAGCTCTCCTCCCACAGCGAAAAAACAGAAATAAAAAGGGCGAGAGATCAAGGCACAAAATCGTGGAGAAAAAAGATCAGAACACGCCCCAAAAAATGTGTCTGCAATTCTTCATGCTGATCAGGCAATAAATCTGGAGAATTGTGGGCAAGAGAATTGGTGTAGCTGGGCAAGTTTCCCCCAGTGAAAACAGGGAAGGTAAAAAAGGTGTTGTTCCAGAAATTTCTGGCCATGAACTTCTTTTACTGCTAAAACTAGTTGATTTCCCTCTCTGTACCTCCGTCCCCCCTAATCTTCTAGTTGCAAGAATTGCCCCCCTTTACAAAAGTGTTGCAGACCTTGACTTGTATCTTGTCTCCCCTGTTCTTGCATCCCCTGTACCCTGTAGAACTGGATTATAGATAAAAGTTGTTGACTCTTGAATTGCAACTTCTCTATTGTCTTGCACCTTGTGTCTGCAAAAAAAAAAAGAACAGAAAAAAAGAAGCAGAGTTATTGTGTGTTGGTAATCTGTGTAGGCAATCTGTGCATAGTTAAAAATGGGCAATAATGTATTTGTAGTTGCTCACAAAACAAATAGCTTGTAGTTGAAGTCTAGATGCTTAGAAGAACACACAAGAAAGGGTAGGCAAAAAAACCATTGTATGTTCCTCAGTTTCATGTACACGGATGCTTGTATCTGTGGTATGTTCCTCAGTCCGAGTCATTAATTTCCATTATAATTGCTATTGCTCATGGAACAAAAGTAGCTATGTATGGCTTAAGTGACTATTTTGTAGATTTTAAAATCCTCTCCTTTCTGCTTGCTTAATCTATGCTAGTAAACACAGTATTCTGAAAATCTTTAAAATCTATAACTATTCATGATGTATGGCTGCTTATAAACGCAATGTTCTGCAATCCCACTACAAAAGAAGAATCTATCACGTTCCTTTTTGACTGAACTACTATTCTGGAAAGACAAGTTTCTGTTGTTAGTG